TTTAAGTATAAAAAACAAAAAAATACATAAAATTACAATATAAATTATATACATACTCTTATATGTATATGTATATGTATATGAGTAGAATACATACGAAACTGATGAATTGTATGTACATAAATAAATATATATAAGCTGATGTGCACTTTTGTATTGGCGTTTTGTTAAGTGAAAATAATGCATACATGCAAAGAAAACTATATACATTTATATATGTAAGTATATAAGACTCATACTTGACTGCAAGATTAGCTACAGTTGGGGTGGTGAGGCACAGAACTTTAGTTTACACACACGATCACAGCCGATCCTAGTAAAACTGCAAATAAAATAATATAAATATTTAAGAGAATAGAATAAATGATTAAAAAAAAATGAAATGGTGTTTTCTGTTTTAATACAGCATACTAGTGGGTTATAATCTCTGCTGTTGTTGTGGTAAACGTAAAAATATTGTGAAATGTTGTGGGAGTAACAGCGCTTGGCCTGTCGCGGGAACTATTTCATTTTAGTCGCCTCTTACGACAGGCATACCTTATGGCTAGTAAATTCTTGAACCACTAACCGCAAGTGGTTTTAATCCCTGCTAATTCGCTTCGCTGACTCTTCCACTACCGATCGTCTTATTCATTCGAAAAATATAATATCATTTGCCTGAGATAGCAAAATACTTGAAGCAAATCTATACTGTTCTTGGAAGACAAACATCGAGGCCGAAAAAAACTGTGGCGTTTCTTCTACAGTAGTGCACTGGATCTACAAAAATGTAGTTAAAATATAAAAATATAGTAAAAACGAGTTGATATGGAGTTTTCGTGTGGCGGAAGTCGCTAAAAAGAGTTGGTTGCTTCTAGGTAAGTAGCTGCATATCAATCAACGAGCGGTTTTCATCACTATCAGTGGCACTCATCAGTATCCCTAGCGCTTAACGTCATTTATATATATTATAGTGTTTGTGAATACTGAAAGTCGGTATATCGCTATAAAAGTTGCTACCGTTCTTCTCAAGGGACTCGACTTCATACCCAATTGCAAAGATTACTGTAGAAGGAGCGGTTGATTGGCCTCTCTTGAGGCCAACTTCTCGTCATTAAGATGGTAATCACTTGGTGCCAGGTCTGTACTATAAGGTGGGTGCGTAAGGACCTCCCATCCGATCAAAGATGGCCTCTTTTGGATGAGTGCTGCCTTCAAGCGGTCCAGTTGTTGGCAGTGGAGGGCCGAGTTGAGCTTTTGGTCGCAGGGTAGCAGCTCGTAGTAGATGATTCCATGCAAATCCCGCCAAACACACAGCAAAACCTGGTGCATCTTTGACATTGAAATAACCGGAATGGAACCTAGTAAACCACTTTTGTACTACACGTTCGTTTACAGTATCGGGCCCATAATCTAAATTGGTTTTTTCAGCCGCTTTGGCTGCTTTTTCGAATTTTCTCTTTGCTGATGTCCATCTTTGACGAGCGCTCACAACGTACTGAGTCAATCCATCGAAAAACTGTCAAGCAAAAACTTTTAGCGCAAATAAGCACGTTTTCAGCGCCGTATAGTATGACATGATGTGACACGTAACACTGTTACTATGGATAACAACGTCATCTCCTAGATAAAAAACGAACGAACTTTTTACTTGACCTAATATAATTGGCGCTTTGAAGCCGCTGTGGCGATTTTTCGGCCGAACCTCCTCCTCCAATTTGTGGTTTTGCGTCTTGATGTGTTTCCAACAAATAGAGGGACCTACAGTTTACACTAAGCCACATCCGAACCGCTGATGGTTTTTCTACGAGGGGCCTTTATTTCATGTCCGAAATACACTCGAAGGGGTTGACATTCCCTGCCGAGGGGCAACGGCAATTAGAAAATTTAATTTAATTTTTTATTTAAATAAATTTTTTAACTTTTGGATGTTGGTGGCACCGGGTTATAAACCCGATCCTGCCGAATGTCAGTACACAATGCTGACCACTCGGCTACAGCGGCAGCGACGATTGGAGAGTTTGGAAAGATTTATTGGAGTAGTGCCAAGATGATTTAGAAGAAATTTGTAACAGCATTGCAACAGTTGGTGAATCTTAGATTCGCTAGTATGATCCCGAGGTTCAAACAGTAGCCGATGCAGTGTATAAAAAAGGGGAAAGTCCACCAAAACAATTCAAAGTGGAAAAGTCGGCGTCGAAGATTATGGCAACCATTTTCTGGGATAGTGAGGGAATATTATTGATTACTTGAACTAGATAAAAAGAACGGCCAGAATTTCATTTCTCTGATTTGGTGCCAAGTATCTTCTCCGGTACCACAATTACTTACAAGGAAACTCCGAAATTGTTAAGGCACGCTTGGTATCATTGTATGTGACTTTGGTGCACTTCAGAGTTAACATGTTGATACCCGCTCGCAGTAGAGTTGTAAGAAACTAAACTACTGCTGAGTTTCACGTATAGATACTACCGCTTCGTTAAAGTCGGGCGCTCTTCTGTCAATATCGGAAGCTAGTTGCCAAAAGAACTCTTCGCGAAATAGCTGCTATCTGCCAATCGGTTCAGAGTTCAGCTTTCCAGATTCTAATGTTAAATAGTTTTCTGTTTCAATATTCCATGCTTACGAAGATCACGGCAGTCTAAGTCATCTTGTATACCCCTGTAAATGACATATTCAAATTTGACAAAAACTGTAAAAGACTGAACTCCTACTCACACGAAAACTACTATTCTGATACCTTTTTACTTGGACATGTGGCCTGGCGATGTCCTACGAAATGTCAATAGTTCGTTTATGTAACAGCTTCTTACTGGTAAGATACTAGTTAATTTAGGCATTTTCGGAAAAAGAAAAATAAATTTGCCTGCACCAAGATTCGAGTTGCGTAGCCCATGCTTGGTTACTCTAATCATTCGGCTCTCGTCACCGTACAGAGAATAATGACAGGCAGCTTGGAAGCACCGTCAACAAACTGATTGGACCTCAAACCTAGAATATCCAAAACTGACCAGATTTTCAAATCTTGGGAAAGACTTATCATAAAAGAGTAGACACACACCACCTCTTCGTCGGATTTAAAGTAACCTTCAATAGCACGAAAGACAGCTACATCAATGACGCCCCGCAAAATTTATACTACACAGCCGAATAGACTTTAAGTAACAGCAAAAGCTCCATCAGACAAGGTGGCTCCTTGTATTTACTGCTGGAGTAAATAATACGAGCTGCAGACCTGATCATCTATAGCAGCGTACAGCTATTGATGTTAACAACCACGCCGAGTGTCATGCTTTCTCAGACGAAGTGAGGAGGCAAAGCGTAAGGGTCTCGTATTGAACGTGGATAAGACGAACTATCTCCTGCAGGGAATACAGGAGTCAATGGAATGTTGAGCTGCATGAGATATGCAGCGACATTTCTATAATTCAGCGGATCAAGAGACAGCTGCTACTCTGGCTAGTCCTATAGTTGGTAGGGTATTTCAAAGTAAGCTCAGTAGAAGTATGTAGTTTGGGAAAATATAAGAAAATTCAAAAAACAAAACCATTTTAAAATAGTAGATCAGTGAACTATATATGAGGGGATTAACAAAAGATCGATATTTTGACTAGAAAAAAAATAGCTTTTGTATTCATTCGTATTCGTTTTCCTTTTTTATCTTCTCTACATAATCGCCAATGCTTTCAATACATTTCTTAAGGCCAAAAATCCACTTCTGAAAACAGTCTTCAAAATCTTGCTTTTTGAGCTTAACAAATTCAGCATTAATCGCATTCATTATCTCCTCGTTGTTATTAAATAGCTTTTCTTTTAATTCTCTTTAATTTTTGAAAATAACCAGAAAACACCGGGTGCTATAACCGGCGTATTTCTTCGATCCCAGAGATCGCATTAAAATTGCTCGTTATTTCAACAGTGTGGGATGGCGCGTTGTTATTTCTTACTGTTTTGCAACAAATTTTTGAAAACTTTTTGTAAACACTCTTCGGTGTACTATTTTGCAGCTACCATCTGACCCTTTACCAAGGGAATTGCAGCTACGATTTGGATCGGTGGAAGTATACTGATATCTTTACTTTTGCTGCTGTTTTTGGTTGCTTAGATTTTACGGGTGGGTTTGCTCCTGTTGGCTCCATGCCATGCAATGCTGTTTGGTTTCTGGATTGTACTTATAGAACCAAGATTCGTTACCAGTAATGACTTTACTAAAGTTACTAGATTGACCATTTTCGAATTTGTTTAGGAAAAATTTAGCAAAATGCATTCGAACCTCTCTTTGGGCTTTAGTTAAAATTCGTGGTAACCTTCGAGTAGAATTCTTCGTGTATCCCAGATGAGTACTTAATATTCTCTATACAGTCCAATTCATTAGCAGAGATTTCTTGTATCGGTCGTGGGTCTTGGTAAATTTTGGACTTCACCAGATCTACAGTGTCGTCATTAGTGGAAGATTTTGATCGCCCTTCTCGGGGCTTGTCCTCTACGGAAAAATGTTCTGTCTGGAATCTTCGAAACCACCTAGAATTAGTCTTTAAAGAAGGTGCAATGGTTCCATACTCAATTTGGCATTCACTAAATACTTCTATTGGCTGCAAATTACAATCACATGGCAATTTCTGTTTGCGTTGAAGGTGGATTTTCTTTTGACCCATCCTCAGCTATCTTACGTTTTCTCAACACCATTTCAGCCAATCGCTCTTAATTTTAAAGGAGGACTAATGAAATAGTTGCAAAGGATTTGGTATTTTTAGATTTAACAAAAACAAATTGAAAGTCACCAACTGACCGAACATTTTTTAACCCCCCCACATGTACATATGTGTATATAACATCCACACATACTATAAGTACAATATATAAAATTTAAGTTTGAGTGCAATGATAAAATTCCAGTGGTTCTAAAAAGTTAAAAAAGCTTTCTTTCTTTAATTATAACGAGTAAAATGTAGACAGAGCGACACTTTTACATACAAACACAAGTGTTTATCAGTTTAAAATTTACTCAATCGATATGAAGCGACATTACTCGCCTTCACCAATAATTGGAGAGCACATACAAATGTGAAGTGAAGCAGACAGTAGTGAAATAGATTTTCATTAATGATCACTTAAATACGACAAAATCAAAATAAATTAATTTTATTAGAAAAATCAATAGTTTAGTGACAAAAAATTTACGATATATCGAAAAGTATTTTAAGAAAAGTGTTTCTAAAATATGGCGGAACCAGAGCGAAGAACAACCAGTGAACACTTTCTACGAACTCAATTGGATATTCGTGAGTTCATAATCTTTTATTGACTTTAAATATTTGTGAGCAATAATAGCGAATGCTAAAGTGTATAAACAAAAACGCAGATAAAGCGATTTGATATAAACTCGTATATATATATATATATATATATATATATATGGTCTATATGACATCTTCAAAGTGGTTAAAAGAAAGAAAGAATTTCTTTATGAATTACGAGTATTTTTGAACCTGCTTCGACGTAGAGCGAAAAGTAATGAAATCTTAGTTTATATTAAATATAATAGCCACACAGCGTGGAATGGGCGTTTGGTTAAGCGTCGCTTCTCTACAAACGTATTCGAGTGACTGCAGAAGCCAAGGTGTTAGCCAAAGGTTTCGGTTGATTACGCCGTTTTATTATATACTTCTGTGTGTGATGATTTCTACCAATCCTTTAATCATGCATATGTTGAGCCATTCGGGGTACACATGACATAGTTTCTAGTGTTTTAGCTTGTAATTTTGATAATAAGTCTAGATTTGTTGCTCGGGTTGTGCCGCATAACTGCTTTCCATACATACACGATGTGTCCCAAAATTAACCAAACTTTTTGGCTATAAAATAAAATACATATTATATTATATTATCGTTGAAAGTTATTATTTATTCAAAATAGGTTCCATTTGACTCAACACAACGTTTGGAACGATCAACCAGCGCATGCATAGATTTTTTTATGTCATTTATAGAAATGTTCTTCAGTACCTCGGTTTCGGCTGCTTGAATGGCTGGGATATCATCATAAAATGCTCCCTTCATCTTGCTTTTCAGTTTTGGAAATAAAAATTAGTCACATGGTGATAGATCAGGCGAATATGGAGGATGGTCGATGAGCGAAAAATACCTTTTTTCATTAAAAATTCGAGCGATTTTTTGGTCGTCATTTAATTCATGTGGAACAAATCGCGCACAGACCTTTCTTTTCCCCAAATCTTCAGTTAAAATTCTCCAAATAGTGTTTTTACTCGTATTCAATTCCTCAGCCAACATTCTCGTAGTAAAATTTGCATCGATACCAATGATTTCACGGACTTTTTCCACCAGTTCAGCACGATTACTAGTTTCTGGACGTCCTGCTCTAGGGTCGTCATTTAAATCCTCACGACCATTTTTAAATCGTGTAAACCACGTATAAACTTGCGTACGACTCATACAATCATCACAATAAACTTTTTTCATTAATTTTTTTTTTTCAAGTTTGACACAAAATTTTATATTTGCTCTTTGTTCCGTTTTATTTTTGAACCGTTAGCTTTTGGTTTTATTGAAATGGCTGTCACTTTTACATCTGCCATCCGACTTACATGAAGTTAGGTGCGTTTGAAAGAGGATGAATGTATCTTTTTAATGTTGCAAATTTTCAATAGATGGCGCTGTATGTTGTATGATTTAAATATAAAGTTCGGTTATTTTTAGGACCCATCGTGTACAATACCAGTTTTGTAGAGGTATTATCGAGAAGATCTCACTGCTGAATGCTGCTAGGCCTAGATTTTTTTCAGACTGACTGACTTAAGCTTAAGAGTTTCAGGTTTTATTTATGACCCAGTCATCCGTTGGTGGAGTAGGTGAAGTTGAGATGACTATCGCTCTGATCATATACCCTATAATTGTAGGTGCCTCTCATGACATCCATCTTGCTCCTGATATCGTAGATAACCATACAGTCGAGAAGGGGGCATTATTTACATGGAAGCTAAAATTAATTTATAAAAAACCTTTCTCTCACCCAAGCGAGTGGGAGCAGTGCAGGTAACAACATTTAATTCGATTTTCTGCCGGTGGCCTCGGCGTTGGATATGGCGACTCTCTGCATAGGCGAAAGAGCAGGGTTCTATTAAAATGCCAATATAGTTCTGAACTCGACTTCCATATGGTCTCACGCTCTGGTCTTCATGATAACATTCACCATAAACATGCCTGAGGGTGTGACAGCATTGGGAACTAGGAGACATTACCCGGAGGACCTGACAGCCGTGTAGGCTGCTAATGTGGACAAGCGGAAGACTACAAAAGCCGTGATAAAGTATGATGGGTCGCGTACACAAAGGGCGATAGCTCTACTACCTAAGTTCTAGGTAATATTCGAGTCAACTGTGAAATTACGGCAGCCTTGTCCAAGCGACAGCGAACGGTAGAAGAAAAACACTTCACATCGAAGAAACCTCGCTCCCCCACACAAAAGCCCAGTTGCAGAGATCGTTAAAAAATAACATTTTGATTGTAATCCTAGATAAATCCAGGTGGGAGGTGGATCAAAGCAGCCGTAGCGAACGTTGAGCGTGATTAATGACGCTGTACATACAAGGAGGGGAATACCCAGTTGCGAAGACGGAAGTTGTAGATTAGAATTAGATCCCAATCAAATCTAGAGCAAGAGTATGATTACCCGTAACGCCATCAGAGCCAGAGCACATTCTGAGGATGCTCCAATTAATGAACCCTTCACTTCCTACTAAGGAGTGAAAAGATTTTTATGAAACATTTATATTGCATACGGGATGAACCTCAACTTACGCATCTGGTTGTCGCATACGTTAAGCAATGAAAGTGATGTATGAAAAAAAAAACGCTTTTCTCTCCTGTGAGTTAGACTGATAAACCAACTAATTAATCTGCAAGTAGCGGAAAACTTGAGGATGATATACTACGCGGATGATCTTGCCATACTATCTTCAAGCAAACATCCTAATCGGCTCTCACAGAGCATAGAGCGTGCAATTGAAATCTCAGCTGGGTGAGACAGAGGTTCACTGTAAATCTGATAAAATCAGAAGGACCAACATAGTGGTTTGAATTTGGAATAACCGCAGAAAGGCTATTGCGTCAAAATAGCGCCTGTGACCCCAAAATTAAACTTTTAGAATGGGTTCAAAGTACCTGGTTTACAAAGTATAGCAGACGCGTTGAGAACTAAATGGCCTTGGAAGTTATCTTACATTTAACATTTAAGTGAATTCCCCCGAAGCCGTCCGTAAAGCTCAAAACATCCTCATCTATACTGATGGATCCTAATGCCAAGCAGACACAGGAGCAAGGAACTATAACGGCCCCAATAACCAAGGTAGCTTTAAAATAATTTATAAAAACTTTGTCTTCTAAGCAGATATGGTGTCCGTTACTGAAGACGCTTAATGGACCATCGCTCTAACTGGAGAATTCATGAGATTTCTCGCGGACAACCAAGTGGGAATTGTGGCCATTAGATGTAAACACAAAGTATGTGAGGACATGCAAAGTGCCAATAAAACCTTGGGGAACACTTAAGGCGTTGGGGCAAACCCAATGTAGGCCGTATCAGTAAACTACAGTGGGGTGTAGATTGCAAACAGACCAAAATCTCTCTACCAATAAGAGAAAGAAAACTCATTTTTCTCTTAGCTATACTGACGGGGTATCTACTAGAGCTCTAAATAGTATTTGTGGTCCAACTGCCCAAATGCTTTTTTGAAATATTTAAATTTTAAATTTTCTTTGTAAAAACTTCTTCGGCATTTCACTGAGTTTTTAACTCTGCATAAATAAATTTCAAGTTATAGAAACAAGTTGGGAGAGAAAAGTCTAAAGTTTTGCTCAAAATGCTTGGAGCAATAAACGAGTGTGCGAGTACTCATTGCCCAAATACTCGGGCAGCTCGAAAACGTTCGAACAAAATCTTGAGCTGCAGTATCTACCCATAAAATATGATCACCAAAGCTAGATCGGTAAAGCGTAAAGCCTGCACAGCGGAGGATAAACCGCTGGAGTTTTATCAACCTTCAGGTGATCGAGATTTGAAATTTACCACGGTGCTCCAGCCTTATTGAACTGGGTACGCATGGGTGGAAGAAAATGAAATAATTTACAAATCAAGAGAACTGTTCGCAGAAGCATAACTGGGATAAGCAATACGTATACTCAGTGTCTCTCCTTTCAAGCATCCAATTTATCAACCATTTCATATCAGAAAAGAAGGGTTCCGACCCTGCCTAGCTATTGTACATTACCTATGTACATTATTTATATGTACATTATTTTGATTTTCCAGTAACCGCACAAAATACCCGTCTACAGGAGGAGAATAATTTACTACGCCAACAAATAGCACGTGTTGCAGTTGACAGTCGGTCGGCAGGGGCCATTAATGTTGAGGCGAAAATCGCCGCTTTGCGACTGGAAGATGAGCGCGATGAAATGTATGATAGGTTGGAGCGCTTAAAAAAGAAATACAACAAATTGCATGGAGCATACCTCGAAAAGGTGCAACGATGTAAAGCCTTAGAGGATACTTTCAAGCGACAAAAGACACTCGCCGGTTTGGTGATGAAATCAGCATTGAATCAACGCAGCAAAGGTAAGTGCAGCGTGTTTATACATATATATTATATTTACTGTTACTAAACATGATTTGAATACACGTATGATTTACACAGACTTGACAGCGAAACTTGAAACTGAAAATCGGGAAAAACAGGTGGCCAAACTGCAAGCGGCGCTGAGCGAAGCGTATGACATAATTGATGAACTTGAATTTGAACTAGAGAGTGTATGAATTTCACTTTTCTTTTTCGAATAATCTTTTCAATTTCTACTGCGTTTATTATCTTCATTTGCAGACGTACTATTTAGAGCAGGAAATGCAACGAATGCGCGAGGAGTTGTTTGCTTTGAAATCTCAGCAAAAGTTGACTCCACAATCAGCTCAATCACAGCCCCAGTTAGATGATGGTGAGCCACCACCAAGTTATGCCTCAGATATGACTGACGGACCCAGTAGCACAGCACGAGGGACTTCAAGTAATGTACGCAGTACGATACGCCTCTCCACTGCAGCATCTTCTTCTTCCGAGTCTTTGCCTAATGATGACGCGGATAGTGAAACACTTGAACGTGCTGCCATGACACACAGTGTAGGTGAAAGGTCAGCAACTATTGGGTTGCCCAAAAAGTATTTGCGGATTTTTAAAAAAAAAGTAAATGCATTTTTAATAAAACTTAGAATGAACTTTAATCAAATATATAATTGCCATTTTGTTCGATAACCTTTTGCCATCTTCCTGGCAAATTTAGTATTCCACGCTCATAGAACTTCTGGCCTTTATCTGCAAAAAACTGAACCAAGTGCGATTTTATAGCCTCATCATTGCCGAAAGTTTTACCATTTAAGGAGTTCTGCAAAGATCGAAATAAATGGTAGTCTGATGGTGCAAGGTCAGGGCTATATGGTGGATGCATCAAAAGTTCCCAGCCAAGCTCACTCAGTTTTTGGCGAGTGACCAAAGATGTGTGCGGTCTAGCGTTGTCCTGGTGGAATATGACACCTTTACGATTGACCAATTCTGGTCGCTTCTCCTTGATGGCTGTATTCAATTTGTCCAATTGTTGACAGTAAACATCCGAATTAATCGTTTGGTTCCTTGGAAGCAGCTCAAAATATACGACACCCTTCCAATCCCACCAAACAGACAGCATAACCTTCTTTTGGTGGATATCAGCCTTTGAAGTGGTTTGAGCTGGTTCACCATGCTTGGACCATGATCGTTTTCGACTAACGTTGTTGTAAACAATCCATTTTTCATCTCCAGTTATGATTCGTTTTAAAAACGGATCGAATTCATTGCGTTTAAGGTGCATATCACAAGCGTTGATTCGGTGTGTTAAATGAATTTCTTTCAATACATGTGGTACCCAAATATCAAGCTTTTTCACCAGTCCAAGACTTTTTATGTGATAATGAACGGTTGATTTTGGTATATTTAACTTCTCTCCTATCTCACGCTCAGTTACATGACGATCCAATTCGATTAATGCTTTGATTTGGTCATCATCAACTTCATTTGGCCGACCTGAACGTGGCTCATCTTTAAGTGAAAAATCTCCAGAACGGAATTTGCGAAACCAATTTTGACACTGTCTTCCTTTTAAGGCTTCATCACCATACACATCTCGTAACTTTTTAGCAACCTGCTCCGCGTTTTTTCCTTTACGGAAATAATAAAGTAAAATATGACGAAAATGCTCCTTTGTGGGCTCCATATTAAAATTGACGCCAAACAAACAAATGTAAACAAAATTTCGCGCACTTTTTTTCTAAAGCAAGCTAAAAGTAACAGCTGATAACTGACAGAAGAAAGAATGCAATTACAGAGTCACAAGCCGTTGAAAAAATTTGTTTACGCCGACTATATGAAAAATCCGCAACTACTTTTTGGGCAACCCAATATTTACCCAATATTTTAAGTAAATTTAACAAAAAAACTTTGATTTTTGTTGCAGTTGATCGAAAATGCTGCTGCCGAAACTTTTCAATTACGACGAGAACTTTTAAAATCGCGCTTGCAAAATACTTATCGGCCGCAGTAAAATGGAGTCCTAGATTGCATAAGTATATTGTTAATAACATTATGTACAAAACTGTAATAAACACTGTAATAAACACTGTCGAAAATATACAAAAAGTCTAAACATTCACTGGGCTTAGGTGAATTCTAGAGGGAAAAATGCGATAGTTTTTTCATGCGACGACGATAAGTATTGTATTTACCAGGGAAAACCCTAAACGCCTAAGTGGAGGGAACTTGGAAGCGTCAAAGCTTGGGAAAGACTCGTAAGAAAAGGATTGACACACATCATCTTTTCGTCGAATTTAAAGGAACATTCGACCGTTCGAAAAAGTGTTGCCTCTACGCCATTCCATCTGAGTTTTGTATCCCTCCAAAAGTTATACGACTGAGTTGTACACGCAATGGGAATTTGGGCGAACATCTTCAAGTCGTTTAGTACCAAATAAAGCTTGAGATCAGTTTACTCTTTGAATAAGTTACCATCTTTTAAAAGTATGCCCACTAGGGGAAGCAGAGAAAAAGTAATACCGCCATTGGAGGGATCAGATGGGGAGGTTTTGGCTTAGGTTTGATGTCTCTAACTGGTTATTTTTCAGTTGTACAATTGAAATAGAAATTTTGCCATGACGGAACATCTAATTCATCTAATCTGGTGACTGTAATCGTTTAGTTGCGTCCATTTACTCCCCTCCTTTAGCATAGACACTGCTTACGCGTTTAAAACATCTTCTTTTCGCTTTTTCCCCAAACGAAATCACCAACTCTCTCCGACGCATAGGTGTTCCCGTTTATATGCTTTCACCAGCAAGTAGTAGTGCATAGAGGTCTTTTAAAGTTGGCGTGTTTTCACTTAACCGTTCATAAAGACTTAGACGGGAATAATATCACTAACAGGTGTTGTTATTGTTGTTGTTGTAACCGCAAAATTATTCCCCAAAGTACTTTTTTGGGGAATGTTGCGGGAGTAACAGTCCTTGGCCGGATAAAAATCCGCGTCGTTCCGGTATAAAAACCCGACTGTCGCGGTAAATATTGGATTTTAGTCGCCTCCTACGCCAGGCATGCCTTACCGCGGGTGAATTCTTGAGCCCTTAATCCGCAGAGGGTATCACTACCAGATCCTTATATTTGCCTGTTTGTCCAGACTCGAAGGAACAGTTCCTGCAGAGGGCACCAGTTGTATGCTATTGTCGAAGATAGTAGCTTCCCTATTCAGTTGTGTAGCTCTTAATTCTGCATCCAATATTGGGTTGAAGACGTTTCACTATTCAAATTCGCTTTGTTTGAACATTCGTCAGGTATCGGCTCTAATAGGTCATTCAGATCTTCGATGGAGCTTTTGATGTTGCTCAGCACCAGTTTACACTGTCGTTCAGAATTTATACATAGCCATTGCGTACCCCGTAAGCCAACCTTAAATTTGATGAAGTGATGGTGATGATGTGTGCCAATACTTTGCCAATGGACATTTTAAAAAATCTTGCGAATGGTCGATGGAGAACTTTCCAGGTGGGAGGCATCAAGGTGTTTATTTTTCCAGACTGGAAATCGGATCGCTTATCTGAGGTATGTTGAAATTATTCAGTGGAGCTGATTTCTACGAGAGTATACATATAGTTAGCTCACGAACTGACGTCTGCTCCCAACAGCTCTCTCTGGTGAACAGATACTGCAAAAAGGTTGTAGGGAATTCCTAGAGAGTTCATGTTGGGTTGATTACCGCATCTTGCATAAAGTTTACTACCGTTTCCACGGTGCACGACGAGGACGAAGAGTAGCTAATGCATAGAATTTCATTACCATAACTGCGATCCTCAAGCTGTAGTACTCTCTATAACTCCATTGCAGACGACGGTACGATAAGCTGTAGACAAGAGATTTCATTGATGCAGGAAATTACAAGACAGCGGCTAAACTAACTAGATCATGTCTTTCGTTGAAAGTTTGCCACGGATAGCAGGAACGAAGAGCAATCTAAAGAGATTCGAGATCATCTAGAAAAACCTACATTTTGGGTGGTTTGTGGGCCAGTGGAATCATTGGGTTATATTTCTTCAAAAATGATGCCGGTGAGAGCGCAACGCACCGTGATAACCGTCTATTTGATGCCTGAAATTGAGGCTCGTGATCTCGGCGACATTTGGTTTTAACATGACGGCGCCACTTCCCATACATCGCATCAATCAATGAATTTATTAAGAGAAAACTTCGATGAGCAGTTAATTTCACTTTTTGGCCCGGTCGTTTGGCCATGAAGATCGTGTGAAACAGAGGACGTTAACAGTTCTACTTACAGGTCATTGAAGATTGCGCTACCATATGCACTAGCTCGGTATTAGCAAAGTGAAATTTTACAGATTCTTGACCCACTATCTCACATATTGATGGAATCCGTAAATGGTGCTAAGAGATCACTAAAATACCTAGGAGTCATGCTACTCCAGAGTCTCATTAAATCAAACGCTCCTTTAAGCCTGTTAATATGACAAGAAACGGACGGCAGTTTAGACCACAGCCCGCTTGCGGTATAAATACTCTACTCCTCCTTCATCTATTAACCTAAAGCACGGTCCCGCATATGAGAACGTATTAATATTTTTACATATTTTGCGTCCACCTCTCTGCTTGTTATGAATTGATTCTTCTTTATGCATTCACCTGAACGCAGCGATGGCCCAATTCCAAGCAAGTTATTAGCCACAATAACGAGATACTCCACTTAAATATTGCGCGACGCATACCGCATTCATAAAATAATTTGAATGATTAAATTTTGCAAAGCAGCTTAAATAAACGCTGCTATAAATTTAGCAAACGCGTAGAAAAACGCAATAAAATGGGTGGAAAAATTAAGTGATAACACGAATGTGTTGCTGCTGCTGCTACTGCTACTGCTGCTGCTAGCATTCGGCATTGCCAATATCCAGGGGCAGGAAGGAGTTGGGTTTGGTTGCACGCTACTATTTTACGCTTATTGGCATATCTAAATACACAAATACGAGCATGTATGTGTATTGTATGTATGTGTATTTGTTAGTATGGGCACGTGTTGGCTGGCGTGAGTTTTCCCGATTTTTGTTCTCCTCATTTATTTTATTTTATTTTTTTTTTGTTCGTTCCAAATACGTTGTAGACTAGTGCGTAGGCTGCAAGTTAGTCTAGCAAGATAGTAGTAGATTATTGCAAAATATTTACACAGTACTAGATATCTGCCGGTACGAGTTTCTGAATTCTCCTGCAGACAGCGTGAGCTCCAAATTTTGTCACATTATTTATGTATGCTGAATTTTGTAGTGCGTACGAGTATACACGTATGTATTGTATATAGCAATGTAGATATGTATATCTGTAAGTAAATTTCCTTTGCCGCCTTAATTGCTTAATCGTGCCACAGCGACGAATTTGACAGTTGATTTGAATTTCAAATGAAAATTTGTCTCAAAATGAATTAACAAATACACTTCGTAAATTACCAGCACTTAATAAATATACTTATACTATGCTAATGATATTGATATATGTATGTACATATTCTTTCTAAAGACAGAGACTTACATTAATATGTAAATGTACGCATGTATGTATTTAGCTATGTCGTCCAATTACGTCAGACAGAGTGATTTACTGTCATAATCAATTCTTGAAATTATGTTTCATTCTTGGTAAATTTGTTACAATTTTATTTTTATTTTGACATTTTTTAAGTTATTCGAAAAAATAATAAATATTGAGAAATTAATTATTATAAGGACGAAGAATGCAAATTCAAACTTTTTATGTCTGCACACTAACACTGTGGCGAAATAGTAAGGTGAACACACGTCACGTAACATAACATTGCGATATCATAACATGTCCATCACATCATCTGACATTATATTGTATTTCACCGCATACGATTTTAGGTGGCAACTACTTATTGACAGTAATAAATTTTTGAGATTTAGCAATAATTAACACTTTAAAATAAACCTTTCCACACGTCACATCGCGACGTCACATCATGTCCATTACATCATATGACATATTTTTTAGGTTGCGATTTTGGTTGACAAATACATTACTTACAACCCTCTTCTGTCGAGGAAAAAAAATTTACTTTGGTATCAAAATTTACCATTCAGTAATTTTTGTTACTATTTCGTAGCCTGAGTTCACTGTCACCCTGTAAATTTTGTTACCAGCGGAATAGGAGGTAATAAAAAAAATCTGCTCTTTGATTTTGTGTTGTTAGTTTGAGTAAAATTAAAATCCAAAATATGTAGGCATATTTTAGGCCTGGAATTCATTGAAGATGAAGAAAAAAGTGTTAAAAAGGCGTATGCCCAGAATTTGCGAGAAAAAATAGCTCTTTTTATATAGAAGATAGCGTTTTCATTCAGCTTTTTTTGTCGTTTAGGCATAGTTCGCCAGAATACCAAAGTCAATTTCGGGTGTTAAAAAATAGTAAGAAAATTTACTTTACCGGTAACAATGAGAATAGGCCTGTAAAAGAAGCCTTTTGCCATGTCACATTGCGATGATACTTCATGTCCCTTACATCATATGACAATATGACACCATATTTTTCAGCTTAAGATTTTAGTTGAGAAATGTTTCAGCTCACGGCTTTGGATGAAAAATATAATACTTAGTTGAAATTATAAAATTTTTGGGATTTAACAGTAATAAACTCTTTTACCTCATGTCATCACGTCATGTCCATCACATCATATGACAATATGACACCATATTTTTCAGCTTACGATTTTAGTTGAGAAATGTTTCAGCTTACGACTTTGGAAGAAAAATATAATACTGATTTGAAATAATAAAATTTTTGGGATTTAACAGTAATAAACTCTTTTACCTCATGTCATCACGTCATGTCCATCACATCATATGACAATATGACACCATATTTTTCAGCTTACGATTTTAGTTGAGAAATGTTTCAGCTTACGACTTTGGATGAAAAATATAATACTGAGTTGAAATTATAAAATTTTTGGGATTTAACAGTAATAAACTCTTTTACCTCATGTCATCACGTCATGTCCATCACATCATATGACAATATGACACCATATTTTTCAGCTTACGATTTTAGTTGAGAAATGTTTCAGCTT